GTTAATAGTTATACGATGAATAATTCAATAACAAAATGATGTCATTTTTCAATTTTTCATTTCAAGAATTTGTAGATTTTTTGGTTCAAGGTTTGTCTCATGTTCCCAAGTAATTAGGTTCCTCGAGTGATCTATGAAAACTGATATTAATAGTCGCACGATGGATGATCCAATAGCGAAATGGTGTCATTTTTCAATTTCTCATTTCAAGAATTTATAGATTTGTTGGTTGAAGATTTGAGGTTTTAGATTTATCGTTTTGATCTGGCATCAAGAGACGGGAAATGACGAGACGAATGGAAATTGATCCATCTCCGAGAGTGGATTGTTAAAAGAGATTGTAATAGGATTTCGACGATCCTGTTTGCTCGTTAACTTGGCCGAACTTCGCGATGACAGCGACTTAACGTTTCGAAGAGGAAACGAGATTCAACAGCAGGCGAAGGGATAGTGAACTCTAAAATGGAAATTAATATTAACTTCCGGTGCCCAAAATCTAGAGTAGCGAACACTCGGCGTGAAATTGGAAGCATATGGTGGATTATGCGATGGAAATCATTGCGATTCTCGATTTGTATGTAAAGTGAATTTGGTCCTCAACGATCGACTGTTAGATATAGGAATGAGTCGATGATTAGATTCATTGTTATAGCAAATTATAATTATTTTTACTAATTTTTAGTCTACAAACTTGATAGTACGGTTTACGTGAAAACTACCCTTAAACAGGGAACGAATCGAAGGCTATGAAATAATTAATTTTATTATTCTTTAGTCCCTAAATGTGATAGCAAGATTTATATGAAAATTACCCTAAAATTGGAAATAACTGGAAGGCTGTAAAATTATTAATTTTATTATTCTTTAACCCTTAAATGTGATGGTAAGATTTACATGAAAATTATCCTAAAACTAGAAATGCATTAAAGGCTACGAAATTATTAATTTTATTATTCTTTTGCCCCTAAATGCGATGGCAAGGTTTACATGAAAATTACTCTAAAATTGGAAATAAATAGAGGGCTATAAAATTATTAATTTTATTATTCTTTAGCCCCTAAATGCGATGGCAAGGTTTACATGAAAATTACCCTAAAATTAGAAATAAATGAAGGGCTATAAAATTATTAATTTTATTATTCTTTAACCTCTAAATGTAATGGCAAGATTTACATGAAAATTACCCTAAAACTAGAAATGGATCAGAGGCTACGATATTATTAATTTTATTAATCTTTAGCCCCTAAATGCGATGACAAGGTTTACATGAAAATTACCCTAAAATTGGAAATAACTGGAAGACTATGAAATTATTAATTTTATTATTCTTTAACTTCTAAATATGATAGCAAGATTTACATGAGAATTAACCTATGAAATTATTAATCTTATTATTCTTTATCCTCTAAACGCGATAGCAAGATTTACATGAAAATTACCCTAAAACTGGAACTATGAAATTATTAATTTTATTATTCTTTAGCCTCTAAACGCGATAGCAGTAATTACATGGAAATTACCCTTAAACTGGGAATGAATCGACGACTATGAAGTTATTATTTCTACTACTTTTTCATACCTAAACACGATATCTATATTTACTTGAAAACTGCCCTAAGACATCGCGTCTAAATCCTACATTTACTAACAAAGACTCCAAAATTTGATATTTAGACTACCAAAAATTTCTATACCAAATTTCCAATAAATGAAATATACCCGCGGGATCGAAATTTCAGAAATACTACACCCGAAATAAAATTCGAATCCTAAAAATGCATACATTAAGAAAATCTGACACGATGTTTCGCTCATTAAAAATAAAAGTAAAAATACGATCGTGTATCTCTGCACAGCAAACGTGCAAATATTTTCGTTCCACTCGTTCTACACGCGAGGCAAAGTATTAATATTTAAAACACCTCGTGTTTTAATCACTCAATTAACATTTCACGCGCGATGCTAATGCTACGATAATATAACAACGATTTCAAACCTCTATATATTCAGCTGTTTACCGATTCCGCGTATCCATTATCCTCATTGTTTATTTGCAGAAATCGTGCGAAACGGTGATCCGTATGCGCGAGCCACATATTTAAATGAATCCCGATATCGCAATATTGCGAGAATTAAATCGAACGATCCGTATAATCGCGCAGCCTGTCATCCCGGTGCCGGAGAAATCGGTAACCCGTCTCCCAGATTTTAAGATCTCCGTTCGTCTCATCGATAATGTCGAGGAGAGCCATTAATAACCGAAAACGAGATTTCCCGTGCAAAGGAAGCACAGAGTGTATCGTTTCTTCTTGTTATCGCGGGCCCCGGAACAAACGATCGCAACGCGTTGTTTCGGGCGACGATCGATCGACGGTCCTGTAGCTGGCCATTACTTAAGATTGGCAATCCATTAACCTGAACCTCCAACGATCGACGGTGATTGGTGGAAAAAGAGGAGATACCGGGAGCAGAATTAGAGGGATCAGGGCTAAAGAGTTAAATTTTTTCGATGGATAATAGACGATCTTTTTGGAAAATTTTATGGTGGCGAAGGAAACCGGAGTACGTTGGATTGCTCTAATTGTGGTAATGGTTGATATAGATTTTTAATGTATGTATGAATTGTAGAGATAGGGTGGCTGGTAAATAATGTAAAACTATTTATTAACCATAAAATATAATATACAATGTGCGGTGACGGTAAAGACTACGAATATAATCTATCTATTAAACTCTTACGACTACAACGACACAATTATACCTAACAACACGATTACACTTAACAACAGGAATACAACTAACAACACCATTACAGCTAACAACAGAATTACAACTAACAACTTCTTTCTTTAATAATTCTACTATGAACTCTAACACACTACACCGTACTACGACATACTACATACTGCCTACTCACGCCCTTGCATCCCTATTTAAAACCATACATGTAGGATCGGGGTGTGTGGATTGGCTAAAGTAACGTTGCTCCCGGACGAGCCCCCAAATGTACGATCTGGGGTTGTGGGGATACGCTAAAGTAACGTTGCTTTACTGCTTCTTGAAATACAATAAACTTATGCTTATATTATCGGCTACGAAACTAAAGACTCGCTACGGGTACGCTCGACTTTTACTTGTTAGACGCTATCTTGAAGACCGTGAAGGACTGTCCTCCCCCGCGCCCTTGCACCCTTATTTAAACCGTTCATGCTCCTCATTCATACCCGGACTTTCTTCCCCAGTCATGCTCCTTTCTCACGCAACCTCGGTGGGCCAGGCACTTCAACCACTCTGCACGCATCCTTAAACTTTCGCTCGACTCTACCATAAATAATCCTTACGGTCGATCCTTGCGCACATGATCACTTTCATTCTAAGTCCAGACACACTCGACATTTCCCAGAGCCACACTTATTCCGTTCCCACATACATTCTATCCTCTTTCATACCTATTCTCCCTTTCCCAATCACACTTTCCCACGCACTCCTTGCAATCTTACCCTCAGCGGGTCACGTAGCCCAAACACTCAAACGCATTCCTAAAGATACTCTTCACTTTCATCCGATACAGTCATAAACATCCCGTCCACACGATCCTAGCGCACGGTCAATCGTCCTTTCGCACGCACTCTAGATAACATGCTCGACCCACTCATCCTGCGATACCACAGTACATATATTGATGTAAAATAAATGATATCTTTAAGAAAGAATGAGCGAATGGAGTATGTGTATAATGAATGAAGCGTGGTATAGGCTAGTATATTTATATGGTGTATGAAAGAAACGAGAACAAATGAGAGAGTAGTTGGATAGGTCAATTGCAATTCAGAATTGGTTGAGGACGAACGTGTGTACGAGTAACGTGAGAAAGCGTAAATAGAATTAGATATATTTCATCGATAATTTTTATCATGAGATATAATATTGTTTAATAAATGTACAATATTTTCATTTAAATGTAATATTCATGACTAAGACTGATAGTAAAGTTATCGATATGTCTACTTTACTATAGAATCTTTGTTCGTGTAGTTACTGGAAATCTATTATAATATCATGAATATTACATTGAGATACATGCTACAGGTTGTTACATTTAGTATCGGTACTAGTCGTGACGATCGTTTATAGTCTAGATTTTATAGTTGTTTGTAGAGACTAAATACGAAGGCCGGTGAAAATATAAAGCGATGTGTTGTTATTATAGTCATACATCTGGTCATTATAGTAATAGTCCATTTAGGGTGTGGCAATAATATTTGATGAGAATGGTCTGTTGCGAATGTATAGTCATTATGTTCCAAAGCGTAAACACTGTCGCGTGTAGTCGCTATAGTGGTTATAATTATCATAGTTACTACTAGTCGATATAGTCCTGATATTTGTTATAGCTTCCGGGATTATTATAGTCACTATAGTCACTACTATAGTCGTTATAGTCACTATAGTCAGTATAGTTGTTACAGTCACTCTGGTTGTTATAGTCACTATGGTCGCCATTCTTGTTGTAGTCACTATAGTCGTTATAGTCGCTATCGTCATTATAGTTACCATAGTCGCTATATCTGCTATAATCACTGCAGTCATTATAGTCACTACAGTGCGTATAGTTACAGCAATCATCGTAGTACCTATAGTCACAGTCGTCACTATAATCATCGCAACTTTTACAGTCACCACAGTGACATGAACGACGAAGCGACTAAAAGCGAAGTGACTACAAAAGAGGCAACGAATGAAACAAAAGCACAAACTCTTTTGTACTCGCCGTTACGCGGACGTGTTATAGTCAAAACTCCGCAGCAAGAACTGACGTTAGTCGGCGAAGCAATTCGATTTATCGCGCTTTTCTTTTCTTCGTCGCGTAGCCGTGGGAAATGCTAGAGAGGACAAACGAGAGAGAGAGAGAGAGAAAAAGAGAGAGAAAGAGAGAGACGGAACGAAACAACGACGGAATTTTTGCAGATCCCAGGGACGACGAGTGAAACGACGCAGAAATGCCTGTGGGCGGACGGGTCGCAGGCAAAGTCGGGATTTACAGCTCCCATTATAATGGTAATGTAAACAGGGATATTGCACCGTTACGTGTTACGCGCACGTAGAAACCACGTTTACCACCCCGCAGCTCCGCGATTCCCCTCGCGTTTATTAGCGTTCGATGGATGTTCGGGTATTTGCATACCCGTGGCGGGACGGAGATTATCAATAGTAATGAAACGAAACGAAAAGGCCCTTTGTTGCCCGCGAGTCCATACGAAAATTCGCGAGGCAATCCGATACCGTATTACCAGAACACGATGCACCGTTTCCACGCACGATGGTTCCCATTTTGTTCCCTCTAATTGCTTTTCGTCCGGAATATAGAATATGTTTTTTTTTAATACAATTCTGAAATGGAGTTCCTGCACTTCGGGCTTTTGACGTTGATACAGGGAACACTGTGTAGCCGTGCGAATATACGTGCTACGCGAAACGTTTCAATTACACGTTCAATTAAGCGCCTCGTAGTCGAAATATCGCGTGTTTAAGGGGAGATCCTGGTGTAGACGATTTTTCCCTTTATTGCTATCGATAGTGCAATATTTCTAGAATATATTCTCAAATTTTCAATTCAATCCTCGAAATATTAAGGTCCCCATAGCGCGTCTACTTGGCACGCTTTAAACGCGTTATTCAAATTGGCGGGGAAGATATTTTAAAAACTGGGTTACCAATTCACTTGAAAGTTTGCATACGTATGCTATGATGTAAGTACTAGTAGGTGAATCTAAAAATTAAACGAAATAAATAATTTAAACAACTTTTTTGCACATGAATGGACGTAAAGTTTCCACGAAAAGGTCAATTTTCTCTTCAAAGCGGCTTCATTTTAACAGTCTTCAACTTTTTCGAATTTTTAAAGGTTCTTCGGCTAATTACGTTCCCGAGGAATAGAAAAATTGTTTGTATTCTGGTTTTTATCAAATATTGGAGAAACTATAGCTCTCGCCAATTTCAAATGTCCTCTTGGAGGCGCTACATATACGCTCTTATAACTCAAAATTCCGATATATTTTAAAAATCCTCAAAAATTCTTTTTATACTATTATAGTTACTTAATAAAACCTCATAGTTTTCATAATGATCGAGTAAATACTTTTGACGGAAAAAAGTTCCCAAATGTACACATATTTTCAACGTTCTGCACCAGGATCCCCTTAATTAATTTTAATTAATTCAATTATTAAATATTTCAATTAATTATAATTAATTAATTTTTTTAAATTTGGAATTCTTTTTTCTTTTTAAGATTTAATCGTAAGGTTGATATTTATACGGTATACGATGTCATTCGATGGAGTGTTTAATCGCATAAAGAATAATTTGGTTATTTTATTGGAATTTTTATTTCTGCGATTAAAATGTCGACAGAATGCTGTTTTCATGAGTCCATTTAAGATAACAACTGACGTTAGAACAGAGTTTAATGAATGCTATCGATGGAATTCGAAGTTGGAAGAAACGACATTTCAGATGCACCGATCTAATTACATGCAAATTAAAATGCGAAGGAACACTCGTGCAATCTGTGTGCAAATCAGGAGAGACATTTTCGTGACCTGCGCCTCAAATATCATCAGGATGTTCGAACTAAACGACGATAAATTCTTCGGATAGCTTCCCGTGCGACGTAAATAATTGAGATAACTCTTTATAACCCTCCCCTGTTGCATTCCCCTTTCGTTGCTTTCTACGTGCACCTCGTGAACCGGAAGTAATTTAATTATTAATTAAAATTCGGGGTCATTAAAAACTTTTAACTACGACAGCACAAAAACGGGACACCTTTTGGTGCAGAGAAAAATATCGTCTTAGTAATTAAACTGAAATTTTTTAATTATATATAGCTAATGCATTATTTTCGTGCCACCAACGACACGTGCTAGCTTCCATTTTTCCCCAGCTTCTCTGGAGCACGAAAATCCAATAAAAAGTTGGAGTAAAATCGAGTATATGGATGAAGTGTCTGATAATTGGTGGTATAAATAAACAGCGGATGATAATGTACTTAAAAATAAATAGAAAAGGGAGAATAAAATTTTATCGTTCGAAGCTTCGTTTTTGAGAAATTTGGTTTCAAAGTTCATAGGGCGCGTGAGAGTTTAATTAAATTTCAGTTGTATAGATTTTAGCGTGTAATTGGTAACCTTTTGAGTTATTTTGTAACTCTGTCTGCTTAATATAATATAATATGTAAATACAGTGTCCCAAAATTCATGCAAGAAATAATTTTGTTAAAAAACACAGGTTTTTAATTAAAAATTGTAAATATTTCTCAACAATGAAGACGCGATTTTCTTTCATTTTTAGTTACCCTGAACTATCAGTTGTCACACTGTCTTTTCTTTTTGAAATGGCGCAAAATTCAAATTTTGCGTGAATTTTGGAACACCCTATAAAGGTGCTTAAAATTCGTAGCATTAAGACTTGAATAAAAGAACGCGCACCCCTGAATTTTCAACCTCGATTTTCTCGAGACCGGAACCTCGAACGAAAAAATGTCGTTCTTCCTTTTCGACTGATTTTTAGATGTAGAATCACATCCTGTCAGCTTGTACTACCAGCTATCAGTCATCCTGAAATATCAAATAAGAAACTCGAGATAGAGTCAGAAGCGTAAAAAGGCACTTCCTATCTTGGTACCTCCACTTTCCAGACACCCTGTATAACACTTCTAACGTAACTAAATTGACCAACCTACCCTTTAACATTTGATACACAATATTACAATGGTTATAGTTTAACAAAATGATTCTACAGTGAGAAGAACTCAAAGTCCTTTACACAGTCAGCTAGAATTCCAACAGCTTCAAACTAAATATTCGACTGAACAATATGCCACAATGTCCACGACGTCACTCAAGACCTATGACGCAACAAAGATAGAATATCGATAGCTTTAACTCAAATAGAGACACTGTATCAATCGCAAGCTTGACAACTACAAGGCTAATACTCGTCCCAATGGGTCACCTGTGTAGTAACAAGCCCAAAGTAAACGCCTTCGCGTCCTGACCCGTCCTTGACCATGTCCGAAACTTCATAACACGAAGTTTAAGCATACAATACCCGACAACTTCCATCTAAATACCATCGACACGCTCCGGTGAATTCTAACAACCCTATCGCCCAGGCTATAGAACCCAGCAGCCCCTGCTACCCACGCTCACAGATGGGATCAAGCACATTGGAGATAGGCTTGAATCAATCTAGAAACTTTTGTCCAACTGACGAGTAATCGGAAAAGAGAAGAATTAAATAGATCTAGATTATATTTAATCTCTGTATAATTTACTAACTAGCTTAATAACTGTTTGTCAGTGTCACCCAAACGGCGTACTACGTCTCTCAGACGTGGTGTTTAATTTTGGCCTGATCGCCGTATCACGTCTGAGAAACGTGATATTTAAGTTTGGCCTGATTGCCATATCTCGTCTGAGAGACGTGATGTTTAAGTTTGACCCAATTGCCATATCACGTCTCTCACACGTGCTGTTTACGTTTGGTCCGATTAAAATGAGACATGTCTCTCGCGATACCGTAAGCTAAGGGCTAACTCTTATTCACGAACTCTGCAACCGATCCTCGACCCAAAGAACTCCCAATATCTCCCAATAACCCAGACTACGCCCCGAATGCCGAAACCCCAGTGCAAGGTGCTGATTACAAGATAAATCCAGCATGCTTTCAGGGAAAGGCTACAGTGGTATTAACGAGGAGATCATGTGGATCAGCATCGGCATGGGGATCACGATCGCTGTGCTGATCACCATAGCGCTATGCTACATCGCGCGAGAGAAGTGTCGGAAACGACACGAAGGCTACTACGCCTCCTGACGGACGCTTCCTCCGCCCTCGTGGGCCTCTTGGTCCTTCTCACCGTCGACGCCGGGCGTCTTTTTCAGCCCGACCACATCGAGAGGCAAGCCGAGGGCGTACTACATCACCGTATAACGCCGAAATCCGGTGACTAATGGCTTGGTTTCGGCTCCAGCGAGCTGACGTTTCACCACGAACGAGGAATCGACCGACTCTCTCTTATTCCTCCACTTCTTTCCTCTCCTCCTTCCTCGCTCATCCCTTCGTCCCACACTCTCCTCCCTTTTTTCACAATCCACTCGTTCGTCCGTGTCCCAACGAGCATCAGGTTCCATCTAGCGATCCTTGGAATTGTCGTCGAACCGGATGAACCCCGGACGCGATGATGATTTATGGAGCGTGAACTGTAATCACTCTGCCTGGCGCGGGATCACGGGAACCCCTGCTACTCCCGTTTCATCGACTGGCTAATTAATCGAACTTCGTTCTCGCTATTGTTTCGACGGATCATCCACGGAGTCTTGTCGACGAGAATCGGTCTGTTTCTTTGGAACCTGATCCAGGTTGATGGTTGCAACAGACTCCAACGATCCTGTTTGCTGGCTCCAGAAGAGAGTCTGAAGGATAGAACGATGAGATCGCCGTGGGATCGGTTGGTCCAGGACTCGGGAAAGATCGATGTACCGTTCTGTTCGTAATCAATCGACACAGACTTTGTGCTTCATCTCGCTTTCATCACGAAGGAACGGTTCCTACCTTCTCTTCACTGGAACAACGAACTTCTCATCGCATGGTTGGTCCTAATTGTATCGCAGTTATCGAGATTTTATTCAAACGAGAAAAATATCGGATTAATTCGCTCGAATAATTAAACAGTGGCGTGACTACTGCCATCGATAGAAAGCGGAGAACGAAAGCAATGAAATGGTCAACTGAGTTCGTTACTCGAAATTGCTCGTATAACTACAAATAGCTAGATACCTCTGAAGGGGTCCCAGCGAATATTGTTTCTCATCTTCTCGATTTCACGTCTGAGTTCCTTAATCGCGCGTTCGAACCATTAGCATCCTTCCAAGCAATAAGAGCTTCCATTCTCCTTCAGTAGCAGAGGCAATCGGATAATCGAGGAGCTCCGGTTAATCGAGCTCCCGGCCTAATTGGGAGATGCGTTAAATCGTATCGAAAACGACGCCGTTCGAACACGCGATTCGCAGAAAATCGTTGGAGAATCTTCATCGAACGTATCTCTCGTCTTTCATCCGTGAGAGAAGAAGAGTTTCGAGGAGGAACAGCGGAATTTTCAGCGACGAAAGTGGAACGACGATGAAACGACGCAACGAAAGTGACGTTGCGAAGAAAAAGCTTCAATGACACTGAAACGATCCTGGTTTTCGTGATTAAACCGAGTGAATCTTGCAAGTTGACCGATTCAGAGGGTAAAAGAAGCAACGCTGTTGTATTGTGCGTTCGAGAAAAGAAGGCACAGCGTACTTACATCCTCGCGACTGATTAACTCCGCTGACACCCCCAAGATCACAGGCAGTGATCGCTATTGACCGAAAACGGTGACGAAGATCATCACCGATGATTAACTCCTATGAGTACTACAATTAGACGACGAAGATCATCGGTCCACTCGAATTTTAAAGTTTTGACGCTAGATTCGGTGTCAGAGATCCGAAAAGCGAGATACAGTCAACATTTACTCCAATTCCACTCCAATTCGTGTTTCTCGGCATCGCACAGTGGGCCAGGGGACCCTAAAAGCTGGGCGAAATTTAAAAAGTGCGGGGATTCTTGTAAATGTTGACTATGTCCCGTTTCTCGGGTCTCTGACTCCGAATCTAGGGTCAAAAGTTTAAAATCCGAGTTGACTGATGATCTTCGTCGTCTAATATAGGACCCATAGGGGTTAATCATCGATGACCGATCATCTTTGTCACCATCTTCGGCCAATAACAGTCACTGTCTATGATGATGGGAGTGTCGGCGTAATTAATCAGCATTGAGGATGTAAATGCGCTGTGCCTTCTTTTCCCGAACGCGCTATACTTGCAGTGCTGAGACTGGTTGGTAAGCAAAATATTCGGGGCAGACTTTGTTCATTCGAGAGATGAAGGGATGAAAATATGTCTCTAGAAGGGAAGAAGGCACGCGGTGGGGGACGCGTCGAAAAACGTAACCCAAACTCGCGAAGTTTCAACGTTAATGGAGTTCCAGCGGCTTCGCGTATGTTAATGGCGGCCATTTTGAGGAACGAAGCCATTTCGCGAGGTATTTCGGACCGCGCGGATAATGTCTATTGCGAATGTTTGTATCGGCATTTAGCAAGGTTATTTCTTGTGTGGAAGTAGAAGCAGGTACTGCAGGCTGGAGTGTATAAATTTGGGATGCAAATCTTCTGCTGGCATATTTTAGAGAGTTGGAATAACCGCTGTTGCTTATGAAGGAAACAAATCTAGGGACATTTTGTCAATCTCGTGTCCTATTTCCGAGGAATCGATATCTCCGCGCTGGGAATGGTACGACTTCATTTTAACCCTTTCATTTAAACCCTTTTGATTGACAGAGATTAGCATGTTCGCTACCAACGTCAGATACACGAATGAAACTAGTTTTAATTAAGGGATCAGACTATCGCAATGTAATAGACTATCTCAATTAATTCCTGTAAAGACGTCTAAAAATGAAGAGAAAATTTATGTAACGTGGGCTGCAATATCTCATAAATTTCTATAAGCTCAACATACTTAACGTGGATACGCAACTTAATCCCTATCAGTAGAGTAGAGAGCCCTCCTCTAAAAGGATTAACATATTCGCTACCAAAATCACATACACGTATGTAACTAATCTCTATTACGAGCTCAGCCTCACAAACGAGACATCAATTTTACATTTTCATTCCAAAAACAATGAAACCTGTTCTGAATTTAGCAAGGATTCAAAGGGAATGAAGCAGACTTTAAAGTCTCGAATTATACATCACATACACATACGTGACACACTAATTTTTATCACAAGCCTAATCTCACATATGAGGCATCAATTTTACATTTTCCTTGGAAAAATGACCACACTTGTTCCGAATTTAACAATTATTCAGAGTGAATGAAATAGAATACAGAGTCTCGAATTATAAATTCATTGCCAACATCACATTCACATATGTACCACAATAATTTCTATTAAAGGCTAATTTTACATAGGTGTCACCAATTTTACATTTTCCTTGGAAAACCGATCACATCTATTCTGAATTTAACAAATATCCAGAGTGAATGAAACAAAATTTAAAGTCTCGAATTTCAATTAGAAATCCTTCTTCGCAACGTGACAAGTAGCATATTCACCATCAATTCACCATCATGGCGACTATGCCTGCAAACGAATCTTCCCTAATACTTCCCAACTTGGGCGAAAAGAAACAGGTCAATTTCATCGATTGACTCCTCGTCGTTCCCCTGTTTCATTTCGACCAAGCCCCTAGCACAATGCCCTTTCGCGAGGGCTGAGTCGCCATAGCCTCACCCCATCTTCTCAACTCGTAGAGAGGCGCCCTGTACCATTCCCAGACAACTGGCAGCCATCGCGGACACGGGCAAAAGGAAACTTGCGTGGAGCCATGGTTCAAGGTCGGAAAGTCCCTCGATAAATCGCCAAGTTTCGTAGACGCCGGTCTCCAGACACGCCCGCGTCAATTTTTAAACAAACCCTGCGCTTGGCAAGAAACGCGACAGTGGGATTCACGAGCTGGAGGATCCATGCCAAAGCAGCCACGTTTCCGGCTCTCTGGTCATCCCTTCCTGTGGTCATGGAAATTCCCATCGGGCTGCTGTTTCACGCTCATTTGCGAACACGCGAGAACGTCGATTCGTGGCTAGGCTAGGACATTCTGATCATCGATTTGGCTCATGTTTCTCGCGTGGCTGGTGCTCCGTTTGCGGTTGTCCGGCTTATCCCTTTCGCTATGGTCATCTCTGTAGGGACCTTGATACGCAATTGCTCTGATCTTCTGATAGACTGAGTGGTTTCGCTGATGCGAACATGTGTGCGTCATAATTCAAAGCGTTGAGGGGATGAGGCAGTGGTAGGTTCAACACCTGGCTTTGTTCCCGGTGTTGGTAATTTTCGAAAATGATTGGAGGGTATCGATGATTCTGATCAAAGTAGAGATTACGTGTAGATCTTTGCGTGGTTTCCTAATATGTTGAAAGGAGTTGAAAGGTTTCGTTACTTATTAGCATGGTCGCTGGTAGTTGCTTCGATCGTTGGATTAGTTGGTATTTTCGGAAAAATAAAACTTGGGGCTCTCGGTAGATACTTAATTATTTTCCACCCTATTAGTTTTGGTATATATGCCTCGTTAGTTGAAGATATATGAAGATTCACAGATAAATACTTTGCCTGTTCCTTAACCCCTTGCGTTACTATTTAATTGCCAAAAAATTGCGAATCGAAGAAGCATTTAATTGTAATTATCTTCTATACGTTTAGTTTGTTCGCAATGGAATTAGGAATAGCTTTTAGAACTCGTGCAAATCTTGCGCATATCGAAACGTGTTAAGTATAATTTCACTCGCATGACAAGAATAGTTTCGCTTCATTCAGTTTGGTATGTTGATTGCACAACTAGTAGGAGTCGTCGTTATAGAGCAAGGGGTTAGCTTCTGTCATTATTTATATTATTTATTTATTATATTATTAGTCAGCATAGGAATATTATTTATCATAAGCAATTTCAAAAATTATTATTTATATTATTATATATTATTAAATTATTATTCGCCATAGGAAAATTATTTATCATAGTTCCAATAATTTCGTATGTCGTTATTTATATTATTTATTTATTATATTATTATTCACTACAAAAGGATTATTTATCATAGCTCCAGTAATTTCGTAAACCACTATTTATATTATTTATTTATTATATTATTATTCACCACAGGAAGATTATTTATCATAGGTCCAGTAATTTTGTATAATATCATTTATACTACTTATTTATTATA